ATATATATATTTATATTATATACAAACACGTATATCTAATTTGTATTTGCAGTGTACATCAATAAAACTAAAAGACAACAAATGTACTGCTGATCAATTTTATAATTTACAAACAAAATTCAAAAAATGGAAATTATAAAGAACAGTACTACAGAACAAAAAGATATTTATGAATAGTAATAACTTTGTAATGTGAACCATACTGCTGAAATTAAGCACTTTTTTGTAAAATAAAACAAAATATTCAAAACATTGTCAAGATGACTATAAAATACGTTAAAAATACTGTAAAATATGTTTTATAAAATATTCATACAAAAAAGATTTGTTTATATTTGGTTCACAGTACACATTATGGATTAAAAAATTTCATTAACTAGGATTATTGAAATATTTAACATTTTTAACAAAACATCCCTTGATTGATAACAAACATTTAAAAATGAAAAACCAAAATACATGGGTTCTTGCCAATAATTTCTATAAATACAAATGCCTTATGTAGATAAAACGTAAATACGAAATATAATATATTTCCTCACAAACATAAGTGGTTTTTAATAATTTTACAAAAATGTCAAGTAAGTACTCTTACTTACAATACTTGTTTCACAAAATATTTCAAGGTAGGAAGTAGTATAAATAAATATCGACCTTTTCACTATTTTATGGAATTTTTTAAGAAAAAATGCATTTCATTTACCTTTGATAACAACTGATTAAACATTAATGATGATAAAGATAAAATTCCTTATAATGCTACAGAAAACTTTTAACACCAAACTCTCCAACTATTTCGACTGATTAGGTCACTCAACAGATGTGAAGAGTGCTACTAAAACTTTTCTGAAACATTATAAAGTATTTTTTCTTTATGCCTATTTAAAAAATGATTCACAAGAAACTGACACAGTGAAATTTATTAATAATTTTAATCGGTTTGCCCTAAACTATTCACGTATATAAATAAAATGATTGTATAGAATGAAGAAATGAAAAAAGAACAGTTACGGTGTTTTACTAGTTTTGCTAACAAATTGTACGGTAATTTTAATTTTTGACTCGTTGGCATTCAAAGGATGCGATCTCCTAAGAACTTTGACGGATCTAGGGCTAATTTTGTCTTTCTCAAGATTCAACGACCTTTTACCTCGTTTAATAACTCTTATTTCGGTCTTTTTATCAGTGTTACTTTCGCTTGTATTACTATTTGAAGCGGTGAAGTTAGTATTATTGGCGGCAACATTCCAGTCTGGATTTTTGCCTTTTTTAGTTGCACTTTTTGTGTTATTAGATTTTATTAGCTCAGACGTGTTACCGTTGATATGTGGAGATGAAACGATGGTCACTTTACGCTGGCTCATACGTCTGCACGACACAGCCTCCATTTGTGCTTCGTTTGTCACTGTTGTTCTGTTAACATAAGGAATAGCTGGCAAGTGTGATTTTAACTGTCACCTGCTTAAAGCTGTCCGTGCACTGTAACCACGCCCAAAATTCAAACTACAAAGGACAGCCAACGACTACCTTGTGGATTCATCCATGTTACTTATTGTAAAAATGCAATCGGAATTATTTTAGTCTAACTACTACATTGAGTAACCAACCGTTTTTCTTTCCTTTTTAATCAGGAGCTATTAAAAGAAACATAAAATGTATATAATTTTAATAAAAACCATTTATTTATAAGCATATGAATGAAAACCAATAAAATGAATGACCGATTAGGGTTACTATGATATCTCCATTAAATAAACCATCACCAAGTGCTTAAAAGCTTGATGATATTTTATGAAAAGTGTAATTTTATAGATGTAAATATTATTGAAACAATTATTACTGAAAGTATTAATTATGCATTTGATATTAAACAAAGTACAAATAACTGTATTTTAATGTTTCTTTTAATTTTAATTAATCTAAATTAAATATTCTGATGAATGAATCCACAATAATTTATTGAAAACTGAAGTTAGTCTAAGCATGCAATAGAAACTACAGTTTTACTGTAAACAAAAAGCTATGAGTTTATATCTCAGCACTGTTTCTAATTAAGTCAGCACTGTTTATAATAAAAAGCAAGATTTTCAATTTTTTTGTTCCTAGAAAAGAAAGCAAAACGTCCGCTATACTCAAGATGCTATTCCAGCCTAGTAAATATATAATAATTACTGCAATCATTAGCAAATAGTAAGCATTGTAAGTTTAAAAAATACCAGATAAGAGAAATTCAAATTCACAAAATCGGCAAGACGCATACTTAATAGTAAATTCCAAAAGACAAAAGATATTAAAGCAATGAAAGCCATGCAAGTTATATTTGTGTTAAATTAACAAACCTCTTAGCAACAACTTTTGTCCCAGATGTCGTTGGGGCTTTTACTCTGGAGTTTAAAATTTTACCAGCTTTTAATACTGAGGAAGGTTCTAAGATTGTAACCACACGAGACTGGAATAACTTACGATCATTATTCCTGAAAAGTGTAATTGTTTAGTAAATTAATTTTTTAATATTTCAAAGAAATTATGATTGACATAGCTTAATATTATTTATAGTCCTTGTTTACTAAAATTGTAAGTTGTTATTTTTAAGAAAAACTATAAACTTGTTTTTATATGATAAAACATTTTAATAAAGTTATTTAAATTAAAATAAAACTAATATTACTTACAAAACAGTCGCAAAAGAGCGCGTTTGTCTTCTCTGAGCCTTAATCCTGTTAAGTCTGTCTCCTTGAGTTAAACCCTCTCCATTTTCTTCTGTTTCTGCGACATTTTCTTCTCGATCGTTCAACTTCATTGTGTCTACCTTCTTCGAAATTCCTGATACATTATCACTCAAAGAGACCTGTCTAAATTCTTCGGGTGTTTTGTTGTTGAAACTGTATATACCAACTGTATGTTTTATGGGACCTTCTAAACGTTTCGTTCTGCGATGCTCTTCACCTGCACGCCACATTTGTTCTTGTTTACTATAAGTAAGATCATTTTTTCTGTTATTCATTAATTTCGAGTATTAAAATTAAAGTATAGGTATGAATGTAAAATACCTTTCAAGCCACTCCTGTTGATGTCCAATGATTGATCCAGGTCTACATAAACGAATCCAAGCAACTGTTTCACGTGCTGTAAATTTGTAATGTTTCATTATGTAGCAACCAATGAGTGATCCAGTTCTGCCAAGTCCAGCTGTAAATTAGTGTTTTATTAAAAAATATTAAATAATTTTTATCTATAATGACAATAAATTCAATTCAGTTCAATTCTATTCATTTCTCTTATACCTTTGCAGTGTACAGCTACAGCACCATCAGTTTTTTCACAAATTTCAATAAACTGCCTTAATATGCGATCACTGGGAGTACTACCATCAATGAAGTACAAATCCTTATGGTCAAATCCTGCATTAATAAATTTATTTGCATCATAAACTTTTTTGTTAAGCCTAATAATTGTTGTAACGTTGTGACGGCGAAAGTAAGAGAAGTAAGTTTCTGGTGAATGTAAGGGATAACCATTATCAATTTTTGATTTATTATGTGGCCCACAGAAACCTATAAACTTGTTTGGGACTATCCAGTTTAAATCTCCATTCTCCACCCTCTAACATAATTTTTAGTTAATAATATAAAGTTTGAAATGCTTAAGCAGTTTTACCTCATAGTGTTCATATTCCAGAAAATCAAAATTCTCAAAATCGAAAAAACCCAAATCATGAGCTTTCTTGACGGCACTTAAGCAATCCATAAGGCTTATGTTGTAAGGAACACCAAGAGATGCATCCCTGAACTCAATAAATGGCTCAAAGTTATTTACACGTAACACATCATAAGCTTTCTTTGGTGTATAATCCAAGTATAAAATCTGAAATATAAATAACATGTTATATTACAATGCTAGTCTATTAAAGTGGCTTTCATTATTAGTAGATGAAGGAAAATGGTAAACTGGTAAATGTAGTAATTCATAGGTATTGGAATAGTTGGGTATCTTAATATACATATGTACATAGAAATGCAATGGGCAAGACAATCTATCCAATAACAGAATCTAAAAACTGACAGCATGAACGTTTAAAAGCAGATTAAGTTTTTGATTTGATACTAAATTTATGGAGCTAACAATTGCTTTAAAATTAAATTGAATAAAAATAAAATATTATAAACTTACAGCATACGAAGCTGCTAAAAATGCTGCATTGACTCTTTTTTGCTTATTACAACTGGTATAATGCATTATCCTCTTCTTAAGCAAAGCAGTAGATTTCAACTTCTTATTAACTTTGCAGCAATAATGATAAAGCATAGCCAAATTTAATGGACCAAAATCACAGAAAAAGCTCTCATAAACAAGGTCTTCATCAATACTAAAGTAATGGGTCAATGTGTTTGACTTTGGTTTCTCTTCAGTTTTGAATGTAACAAAGTAAAATCGATCTAAAATGATATAAAATCAAATAATAAGTAAAACAAACCATTGTTGATGGCACATACCCTTGATAAACTCTGCTGCACTTATGATACTCATTTTGAATGTAAATGATATATATTTATAACAATTTACAAATAGTTAAAGAATATACGTTTTAAAAATCATTATTAAAATCCCACACAACAAGTGGGTGTTTAATATTATTTGTACACTATGACTGTACAGGTGCAGTTTTTTTACTTGAATTTGTAATTGGTTTAAGTAGATGCTGTTTATTGGAGCTCTACATTTTTAAAATAGTTGCAATATCTTTTATCATATCAAAAGAAGCTATTTTTTTGCTTCATTATTCATGCATGTACACTATATATGTTTTATACATATGCGGATACTGCACTACACAATTCCTTCACTAGTTTATGCACTCATTATACACAAATACACTCAAGGTAATTACTTATTTGGTACAATCACTTAAAAACAAACACAGTGGCTATATTACAAGCAATATTGCTTTTGTTTCAACAATTTTTCTGAATTAAATAAAACCAAAATGCTAGACACTTACGATTAGACAACTGCTGCTGCCATTTTAAAAAACGTTAAAATGAAAACAAACATAAAAATTATGGTAGTGTATCCATACCCTATGAATTTAAAATAAGCTTCCTGTAGAACAATTGAATTAAATTTAATTAGGTAGTTAGAAAGATTTTGATTTGTAAAGTACTCAGATACCTAATAATAAACATAATTATTAAGAAATAAAATGCAGTTAAGTATAATAATAGTATTTTTCTTTCTCATAATGGAATTGGGTATCTATGGAAAACCGCTTTGAGCGCGTCGTAGCATTGAAACATTGAACTACAACTGAATGGTTTACTGTTTTGAAAATCCAAACTCGAAAAACTAGATGCCGCCTAATTACATTTGTTTTTGATAAATCAAAAATTTAAATATATTTATATATA